TTTTATTATAATAAAAACATCAACAGAAATTCCAAAATTGTGATTCATTCTGATATATATAGTCTCTTTAATTTCAGGAAAGTGAAACTAATACAACATATATACACATAGAGAGAAGGGCTTTAAGCCTTTATTTATGTCCTTTTGATGTCCAAGTTGCTTTGATAGGAGCCAAAAATTAAACTCAATGGAGAAATCAGAAATCTGTTATCTAGAAAACAGGGTCAATGTGTTTTTGATTTAAATCCATCATAAATCTGGTTCTTTCTTTGGAAGCCACAAACGTCTGTGGCCTCTACAGAACAATCCAGAGACGTTTGTTAGAGAACATTTTAGTGAACAAACACCTTTTTGAGGTCCAAGGAAGAGAACAGAAAAGACGTGGAGACGTTTAAAGCAGAGTTAGGATTCCAGCAACATTCCAACTTTTGGCCATTTCTGCTCAGTCCATAACCTGAAAAGGAAAGGAAAATGGCCAACAGATAACAGTGCAATTAAAAAAATCTGGCCTTTATGGAAACTAGCCAAAAAAACGTTTAAATAAAACCACAGGCCATGTGGTGGAAACATCAAGCAATAAATAAAGTACAGTCCTCTGATTGCAGTTTGATGTATTTTATTGGTTAGAACACAAAACACCACATCAATGAAAACTGAAAATGCTCAAATATCGATACGTACTCCATCATTTACCACGTCAGTGGCATCATTTTGTGTAACTTCTTGTCTTCAGCAGGGACGGGGAAACTGCTCAGTTTATCCAAAGATGAATGGAGTTCAACAATGAAGAAGGATCACCTTTCAGCAGGGCAGAGTCCCTGCTTTTACAATGCTCTCTGCTGTCTTTAGGCAAATGGAGTAGTCCTTTAAGAACATTTAAGTCTGTACTGAAAATACATTCAAAGGAGATACTCTATTAACTTAATTGCATGGTGTAGAAAGGGAGCACTACAGTTAGTATTGACCCCATGGTTTTTAATTATAAGCTTCCTTACAGTACATAAGGTATTTTAGCAGGTATTAGACAGTCTCTATACAGTTAACTGGTTAGTCGTTTGTTATTAGTTGACTATATATTATGCTCAATTGCAACTGCACAAATAATTTATTGATAAAGTACATATAACTAGGATACATAAGGTATTTTAGCAGGTATTAGACAGTCTCTATACAGTTAACGGGCTAGTAGTTTGTAATTAGTTGACAATATATTGTGATCAATTGCAACTGCGCAAATAATTTATTCATAAAGTACATATAACCAGGATGATATATGTTAAGATGATTGTTTATTGCTGAATGATTTGTTGGTGTTGAATGCAATGTATGTACTTGTGCAGATTATTTCCACACAACTTAAATAAAAGTGGAATTCAAATGTTAAGTGTTTCAAAAACAAGTTAATCACTAAAACATTTATACAAAGCAAAAAATCACCTAAAAAAGTCTATCTATCTATCTATCTATCTATCTATCTATCTATCTATCTATCTATCTATCTATCTATCTATCTATCTATCTATCTATCTAT